TACCAGCTCTTGCCCCATGTGCTTTTCCTATCACTATCCTATCAAAAGCCTCAACTCCTGCCACTCCTCGCCCGCAGAAAGTCCCACACCTCCATGCCTTTGCTCAAGTTCTTCCCTCTGCCTGGGTTACCAGACGCAGCTCTCATCACCACCACCTCCCACCTCACTTAGACTGCCCAAATGGAGAGCCTATGAACTGGAAATTCGCCTGCTTACCTCTGTGCACCGTCCACTGACCACCTAGATCCAAGCCTGTCTCCCTGCTTTGTGGATATTCCTAGGGGCAGTGGTAATATCTGCCCAGATTACACAGCCCAGTCTCTAACACGACAAGGCACAGCAAGGGCTCCAGGCCAAGCTGACCCAGTGCCCTGCAGAGGGCCTGAGGATACCTGTTCTATTACTGTCCTGTTGGTTGGGCCACCTACCTCCAGGTGGGCAGGGGCCCCTACAGGGACTGGCCAGAGAATTCAATAGCACTGAATACCAAGTGAAGGACCAAGAGGCCCTCTGCCTCTCAAAGACAACCATCTCGTGCACATGTTCTTCTACCCAAGACTCATGTCAGTGTTGTGTGCCTGATTTTACAATGAGGACACCGCAGCCTCAGTAGGCTAAGCATCCTGACCCACCCAGGCACCCAGGTTGGCTTGAACTCGGAGCCCAGAGCCCTTCTCACCCATCAGCAGGTCTTCATGCATTTGGGCCTTCAAGCCCAGGATCAAGACTCAGTGAAGAGGGAAAGAATCGGCTATGAGGCAGGGCTCTGGAGAGAGGTGGCCTGATTCTACCGGCTCCATGGGAGGCTTGCACCGAATACTGGGGCACTAGGGCAGGGAGGGAACCTGGAAGTGCTCTGATTCTCTCTCTTCAGTTTACACAGGAGGAAACTGAGGCCCGAGCGACCTCAAGAGATGGGCCAAGCAAGATAGAAAGGGGAGATAGGGCGGAACAGTTACGTAGGCCAGGCTGGTGCTGTGGAAGGAAGCTGTCGGCCCTAACCAGATCCTTTCCTAGGCAGAGTTAGTCTCAGGTGCTCCCTTCGTGTGGCTGGTCCCGGGTGTCTAATAATGAGGCGGCACACAGTAAATCATGACATCTTGGAGCTTCAGGCTGACACAGACCTCAGAGATTGCTTTAGCCAACCACCCACCTGAGATTTAACTACCTTTACATCACCCAATGCTGGCTGTTTCATCCTCTGCTTGGATACCTCTAGTGGTGGGCAACTAACTAGACAGCTTCGCATTTATTCAATGGGTTAAAAAAAAAAAATCTCAAAAGGATTTAAGTTTTTGATCTTCAGTTTCCTTACCTATAAAAAGAAAGGCTTGCACTGGGTCACTAGCTTTCCAACTGGGTTCCAAAGTGCCCTCAGGTTTTAAAGAGGTAACTCCAGAGCTGCTCCTGGAGTGAAAGAGGCAATGGGGGTACAAAGGGAGGCGATCCATGGGCATCTGGGTCATGAGGTTCTGTGGAGAGCTCAGCCTCCATCTTGGAACCAGAACCTAATTCCTGTGGGTGACACAAAGAGGAGAGGGAAGTTGAAGGAGACAAATGAGAGGGGGATGAGAGTCCCTGGGCAAACGGGCATACTTCTCTACACCCTCCATCCCAGCCACAGCCCGTGAGTCTGGGCCAAGTTCTCTAGTCACAAAAGCACACCTCCCAAAAGCTCCCACCACCTGCTGCATGGAGCCAAGGACACAGAAAACAAAACCTCATCAGTTAATCACAGGCACGTCGGCTGTGCTGGGAGTCTGAAAATCAAATTTCGGTGCACCAGGGTTAGATGGGCCCTGGAAAGAATGTCCTGCATGATGGTTAAAACAGGGCCTTAGCCATCAGCCCCACAATGGACTACCCAGCTGGGTTGCCTTGGGCTGGTTACTTAACCTCTCTGTGCCTTAGTTTCTCCATTGGTACGATGGGCACCTAAATGTCAAAGGATGATGGCGAGGATCCAGTGAGATTTCACATCTAGTGCTGTAAACAAGTACAAGAGAGAGTTTAGCTGCTGCCTCCACTACTGTTACCATCATTCCATAAACAAGTAAAAACAGAGGCACAGAACGTGCTGCCCTAAGTCAAACAGCCAGTTTGCATTGACTGCCCACTCTAAGGCTACTGCTTCGCAGAGGAAACTTCGAAGGGGTCACTCAGGCGGCAAGTGGCCATCCCAGATCTGCTTGACCCCAGCGTGGGCTCCTCCTGCACGGCACAGAGAGGCACGCCCATCTCAGGCAGAGAGGGCATGCTCTGCCTGGCAGCGTTATTCTCATGCACCAAAGATGCCTGCCCTGTTATTAGAAGTTAAATACACACATACACGTAAATGCTACAGCATCTGAAAAGGGTCGTTCTAAAAGGATGAATGTAACTTTTCCTGTGCCACCCTTTGCTCCACTGCTGACTCCAGCATCCACCTCTGCCCCCCACCTTCCCCTTCTGTCAGCTCGGTGAGCTGCTTCCTGGAACGTTTACAACCCCAACCCCCATCCCTGCCATCAGACACTAGTGACGTTACATACAAAGAATTCTGAGTCAAAGAAAGCCACAGCAAGGTCGTTATAACCAGAAGATGTCCTGTTTAATCACTTATTTCCTTAAAAAAAAAAAAAAAAAATGCGGGTAAATCTGGGCATAGCCTCCAAGCTAGGAACAAAGCCCAGAGCAACAAATAGAAGGATGCTTCTTAGGAGACAGAATGCATGGAGATGCAGGTTCCTCGTGAACTCAAACTGCCTTGGGCCTAGCCCCCATGGGTGCGCCTCATCAAAAAGCCTGAGTCCCACGGGACAATTCCACCCAGCTAAAGGGCTACTCAGTGATGAGGTCCAAGATAGCACCAGGAGAAACTCAGCTCCATTCCAAAGATGCCAGTCAGAGGCGGGGGCCCTCTAAAGGCTCCTGGCAAATATCCTCTCCTCCTCGCCCTCAGCCCCCTGCCCCCATGTTCTCTAGATGTGAGTCTGAGCCCCTCGCTTCCACTTGTGTGATCCCAGGGAAGTGACTTGTCTTCAGTTTCCCTCACCTGTAAAATGAGACAACAGCTCCTTTGCAGGGACATGACGAGGTGTGTATGTCAAAGGGCCCAGGACAGAGCCTGGGCGCCAGCCTCAGACGGCTCCTGCCACTTCCTTGTGTCCCGGATACCCCCGCATCAAACACAAACACTATGCTTCCTTCAGTGCTCCACCCTAGACTGCCTGGCCAAGCACAGGCACATTTGGCAGTCTGCCTCCAACTCACTACGTGTCCTTGGGCAAGTCCTTCACCTTCCCTAGCCTCAGTTTCCCCACCTGTAAAATTAGGCTGTTGAGTTTGGAACACCTCAAAGATCCTTTGCTGTCCCGACATCTGACTGTGCCAGCGTCTCAAAGTCACTCCTGTAACTACCACTCCTTTAAGCCCAGACTGATGCCTGCTCAATGCAAGGCTGGCTGGAGCTGCAGAGCCAAAGCTCCCCACAACCAGCCCCCAGCGCTGCCAAAGAGCTGGTGTTTCAGTGAGCCTGATGGGGGTGATGGTACATGGGGGCGGACATGATGGGATGTGATGGCAGCACAGAACAGAAGCAGACCTGGTTCCCTGAATCACTGGAGAGCAGGCTGCCCCTCCTCCCTCAAGACCCTGGCCCCAAATGCATGCTCAGTGCTCTACCTCTTGCCGTCCACAGAGGCCGCTTTGCCAGGAGAGATCACGAAGATGAGAGTGAGTGTGAGGGGCGGCCCTTTAGAAGTTTGGCCTGAGTCTCTCTGGCCAATCATTACCAGGCCCTTCACAGGGTGGCCAGGTGTTCTGGAGGCCACACTGGTGGCCAGAGAATCGCTTTCCACGAACAGGAGGAGCACGAGGCAGAATCCTAGAAGCGGGGACTGGACTTGCACCCAGATCCTTCAGCAATTGTCCTATACGGTCTCCACAGCCCTACAAGTTTACATTCCACATGGGCCCTGCTTCTCCTTCCTTCGATTTCAGGAAGAAACAAGAGAAAGTGCTCACAGACATGAACACCAAACAAACAAATAAACAAGAAAAGGGCCACAGAAGGAGGAAAATACCGAGACATACAGGGTACCAATTCACCGGGCCTCAAAATTAGGGGTGGCTCCCAAGCTGCTCCTGGCTACCCTCCTGTACTCTTCAGCACTTTGTACCCCTGCCCTTGTTTCTGCCTTGTGTAGGGGCGGAGGGTGCCACCCCACACAGCTGCTCTTCTATCTCTTGGATCTTCTTTCAAGAAGATCCATATGTGCCGGGAGGACCCATATGAGGGTTCTCCTCTGCTGCGATCTCCCTACCACCTTGCCTATGCCTGGGGTCAGCTGATAGCTGATAACCATTCATTCTTTAAAGATGCTCCAGGCATCATCCTGGCAAAAAGAGGCCCTTGGGATACTGCACACTGGGGATACATTTTTCTGGGCCCTATATAATTGCTTTGACAGGGTTTTATCATTAAGGGCCAGTAGGAAAACAGCCACAGGGGGACAGTCTCTGCGTTTCCATAAGCCTGCCTCGTAGACCAGGGCTCTTTATGCTGCTTCAAGCCCCAAAACAAAGATTTCCTTGTATGGGACCGGGGATAATTTGGTTCATAATTTGGTTCCTAACGATCTAGTCTGTTCCTTTCTACTAGGTAATGAAAGCAAGGTGACTCAGCCTGCTACTTTTATTGCCCTGGCTGCTAGGAGGCTCCAAGTTAAGTTTCTCTGTCAAATGCTGTATCTTTCTTCAGTCAGAAATTCCTTATAGGATTTTCCCCTCTCTTTTCCCCCATTTACTTCTCTGTCCCTATTTTGGTTAAGTGTACTTGGTAGGCTAGTGTCTGGACTTCCACTGCGCCTTGCCAGGTTCTTCCTGACATAGGTAAAACACGAACTGGTAAACTGTGCTGAAGATTCAACACAGTGCTGCCTCCCAACGTCGTGTGTCCAAGAGTGTCCTCTCTACCTCCCTACTGAGTTGAGAGTCCTTGTGTCAGTAGCTCTGCTTACCTGTCATGATCCTCTGGGCCTCGTAGGGCTCCATGTAGCCCGCGCTCTCCCCCTTTCCTGCTTTACTCTTGAGATCATTCTTGGCGTCAAAGGGATCTGAGTAGTCATCAGCGATAATCACCTGTAGGGAGTAAGATGGCAGAATGAGTCCACCTCTGGCTTTTTGCTCACTGATGTTCACAGCCAGGATTTGCTCCAAACGTAAACTGAGCCAGTGCCATACCAGCAAAAAAGGGGAAGGGGAGGCTGGTGTCCACCCTCGGAGAGCTCCAATTCTTATAGGAGTAACAAAGGGACCCACACTGGCAGTGCTCCACTGCAAGAGAGGGACCTCTGAGCCTGTGCATGCAGCGTGGCCTGCTCTGGGCAGTGAAGTGAGAACAGAAGGGCATCTGGGTAGAGAGGCACAGAGGCAAGAACCTGGAGGGTGTCTTTGGGGAATGTGAATTGCTCAATTTAATGGAATGGAAATGGAGGAAAGTTGGAAAGGAGATTGCAGAAAGCTTGGAAATGCTGACGAGCTCCTGGTGCTGGCTGAGGTATAGGAGGGCTTGTCTAGAGATAATTATGTTCAGTGTTCCATTTTCCCCAAATCTGGAATACAACCACGCCTTGGGTAATCAGACAACAATTTGGTGAGATCAACGTATTGCAAGTACTGCAAAGATGACTGTGGCCTGAGACAGGCCCAGTGAAAACACAAAAGCAGCTCAGGCATGGATGGACAGACTGCTGGGGCCAGAAAGGGCCTTGGAAGCAGTAAATTGGAAGACCCGTCTATAGCAGATGGGGAAGCTTAGGTCCAGAGGGGGAAGGGACCTGATTGAGACCCTTGGCCAGATCCTCTGCTCCCAGGGCTCTTCCTGGCTCCTCATTTGTCTGTATTCCAGAAAACAGCAAAGTTTCACAACAAACAGACAGAGCAGGTCACCTGTGGGTAGACAGTGGGGGGCGGAGAGGAGAGTCCCAAGAGAACATGGGAATCTGAGATTTGAACACTTCAGAGACCAAGCTCCACATTTTCCATGGAGAAGGGTAAAAATTCTCAGTTGGAAGCTAAGTGTAAACATGACAACTTTCCCTCCCCTTCCTTACTTCATAACCTTCCTGAGGCTTACCAGAGGAGAAAGGACAGGAATCACCAAACCGTTCCCTTTCAACACACCCTAGCTCCACAACAACTCACTGATGAGACTTTTGTCCCCTTTGGTCACGCATCTTGTATATAGGGCAAGTTCTCGGCCTGGCAGGCAGGGCCACCCAGCTGCCTCCCTTGGGAGGGGGTAGGTCAGCATTTCTCTCAACCCTTGGGGTTGTATGAATTGTTATTTAAATTGTGGGTTTAATTAGAAACCACAGGAGCCTCCTCTCTCTCTCCCAGCTCCTGGAATGTAAAGCATTTGAGGGGCCTGTAAGCCCAGGGGAAGGGAAAATCCCCCTTTGTCTGCCTGGTGAAAGGCAGTTTGTGGCAGCAGCCCTGGCAGGGTGAGCAAGTGACCTCCTGCTGCCGGGAATGTGATGCCCGAAGAGGGACAGTGGGCAGCAGTCCTGTCACTGGCATGTGGCCGGGGGCCAACGGGAGGCAAAGCACACAGCGGTCACGCTTATCAGTGAAAGACTCAAGGCCGGAGCGTCCACCATCTGAGCATGTGTGCCCTGCTGCTGCAGCTGTGGGTCAGTCTCTGTGTCCCAGTGGGGGCGCTTCCAGATGCTGACATTGTAATCGTGGCCTTTCTTGAGACTCACTGAGCTCAAATGACACCAGGCAAGGGAAAGACTGGGGGTGGGGGAAGAGCTGGGCCAGGCAAAGTCTTTCATTTGATATTTCTATTCTACCATTTGCAGAACACGCCAGGAAGAAAATTATACACGTGAACCACTGTCAAACAGAACAGTTCAGACGCTGATCTGGCGTAGGGTTTTGTGTCTCAGAGTTCAAGGGACCAGAAGTCCAAATGAAGAAAATGATGAACTTGCTGTGGATGACATCTAATCTCATTCCTCCCGCCCTGGGCTTCCTTACTGTCTCTTTTCAACATGAACATCCTCCATCTATTCTGCAATGAGGAAGGGAGCAAATATTTCCCCAAGAAAACAAAATCATTTTGGGAGATTAGTTGGGGGCAGGGGGTGGCGGTGGGGGGAGTTGGGCTGCAGTCTCTGTAATCTAGAAATCAACATCTCAGCTCCTCTCAGAAGTACTCTATAATTTGCAAACACGGAGGCTTGCAAGGATATAAACCAAATCTTTGTTTGCCGGGAGCTCTGGGAGGCCTTTGATTCAGCAGGCACTATCTGTATTTTCTAATTAAAATGAGATCTGAGCTTGGGCTGTCAAGGGGCCCCCAGCTGCCTGCCTTGCTTACTTCCGTTTCAATAAGAATTTACAAATCCTAAAACCAGGAAAAGCCCCTGGTCTCTGCTGACATATGGTTCCAGTTATACCTGCTGACAGTTGAAAATCCTTCCATTTAAAAAAAAGTTTAGAATTCTGTTAGTTTAAGAAGCAAATCGGAAGGTTCCTAAAATGTATATTTAATCAATTTGCTTGCAAGCTTCAAAGTGACGTGGGCAGAGGGGAGGGACTTTGAGGTTTGAGCAACCTGAAACTGGGCAAACACTCACAGAGCTGTCTGACCTTTTGCAAAATCATGTCCTGGGTTTTTTGGAGTAAAAATTTAACCAGGTGTTAGGAGAGCTGAGTGGGCAGTTAGCCAGAGTGATGTGTGCTGTGCCACCAGCCTCAGCCTCATGCACCGGGCAGTGTGACCACTGTCCAAGCTGCCCAGGGCTCATTGTAAGCCATGATGGCTGTGCAAGGGCCTTGAGTGAAGGCTGCTGATTATCTGAGTTAAAAGAGAGTGAGTTTCCCAGGTGTGGGCTTAGATTCCTGTTTTTTTCCTGCTGAGGGTGTTTTTGCCCCACTTAGCAGATAAGTCCCTCAAATCTAATTGAACAATTCAACCAAGAGGAAGCCAGAGGGACTTCTCTGTAGGTTAGGCCACCTGGGCACAGAGAGACTTTCCTTGACTTTGATCTTGGATTGGCGAAGACCTGACAGGGCACTGGCCCCCTTCACGTGGCCTGCTCGTGGTCCCATGGGGCAGACGCAGAGCTGAGAGGGGAACCCAGGCTACTGGTCTCACCACTCCACTATGGAGCTGAGCAGCGACAGAAAGAAAGGGGTTATGGCTAAACCCCAGGCAAACCTTTTCTTGCTTTCCAACAAAACTAGAGATCCCAGGTCAATCCGGTGCCCTTAAAGGACTTTCACAGGCTCATAAAGCAGCAAAACTGGGGGTCTTTGAGAGCTGCTCCCAAATCCCTTTGTGTTGTACATGGCCCACTGCATCCCAGAGGGTCCTAGAATTCCGCCATGCCCACCACCTCACTGACAAGGCTCTGTAAGCTGGCTGCTCTGGGAGTCAGCTCCACATGCCTCCGTTCTGTTTTGCACACACGGCTGGGGGGAACTGCTCACTCCCTTCCATCAGTCTGGGGCCCCAGTGTTTTTAACTTGGAGACTTAGCTTTGTGATAGGAACTAGTCTTCCTGTTCATCCACAAAGGGAAGCACTAGAGGAAGTTGGGTGTCACCACTTGGCCACATGTCCATTCGCTTTTGTGAGACAGCTGCACCTGTATAGAGAGCTGGATCCTCTCCATGTACTCTTGGTAGGAAGGTGAATTGGTAGAACTACCTTGAAAGATAACTTTTGGCAGAATCTGCTAAAATTCAAAAATGTACATGGATTAACCCAGCAACTTTGCTTCTCAGTATTTATTCCCAAATGTACACAAGGAGACAAGGGCAAGGATGCTCCACTAGAGCAAATAATAATGAGAAATTGTAAGTACCTGCAACATCCATCCATAGGGGAACTGCTAAATAACTCCATGCTATAGAATATTATGCAGCAAGTTTTTTTTTAAAAAAGCAGTCACTCTGTATGTGCTAATAAAGTTCTCCATGACATGGCTTAGAATGAAAAGAAAGCAGGTTGTAGAATGATAGATACAACCTGATGCCTATTTAGGAAAAATAAAACAGAAACATGTATTTCTATTTAATGTAAAGAAAAGATCTGGGGAGATACACATTTCAAACTGACACCTTCTCTGGGAAAAGAAAGGGACAGGGATGTTTACAGGAAATCCAAGGAAACTTTCCTGTAATGTTAATACATTTTTCAAACAAGGGGAAAACTCATTAATGTATTATATGCAAAACTAAACTTTTAAAAAAGCATTCCTCTTCACAGGCTATTTTTGGCACAGTAGATAAACTGTTTCTCAAACTCGCCTGAAGATAAGAATGGCTTGGAACGCTTGTTTAAAAAAAACAAAACAAACAAAAAAACACACAGATACATAGCCCCAATAATGTGCATATTTAATAAACAACCCAGGTGATTCTTATCAGCAAAGTTTGGGGATGTTAAACTAGAGCCAGTCCCCTCCCCCACCAATCTAAAGCAAAGCCTCCAGACACTACAAATATTACTCACTTTTCCCAGATATTTCTGAGCCTCAATCATTAAAGTGCAGCAAGAAGTGGGTATTAAATGCAGCTCTCCCCTGCTTTCTTCCCTGGGAGTCAACTGGAATGAGAGATGACCCAACACGCCTTGGTCCATCTCCAGAATCTAAGACGTGGCAGTAATGGCATCCTCTGTGCAATGCCCAAGGCTGGCCCCAGATTGAGCAACATGGCTGTGCAGGGGGGAGAGGCATACCCAGGCAAGACCCTGTCCTTCCAGTGAGGGGAGCCTGGCCCCCACGCTGGTCCTAGCAGCGAGGACTTGCGAGGCTCTCTGTTCTAAAGCGCAGACCCTTTCAAGCCAATTCTACCTGGCTCTCAGCAAACCCTCCAGGAAGATCCTGGGCTCCAGAATGGGCTGGCGGCACTGTGAAGAGGAGACACTGCAGAAATGCAAGGGGCATCTCTGCCAAAATTACTCGAACCTGCTGAAAAAGAGGGGTCAGAGAGGCGAAGCAGCCGGGAATAGGTGACCCATGCTGTCCCCACTATCCCACAGGCACCTCCTCCTCTGAGCCATACAGTCACCTCCACGTGTTCTGCTGTCTGTGGGAACTGGCAGCTTCGGGCTGCCCCAGCTTG